TCTATTCTATTCTATTCTATTCTATTCTATTCTATTCTATTCTATTCCCTATTCCTATTCCTATTCCTATTCCTATTCCATTCGATTCCATTCCATTCCATTCCACTCCACTCCACTCTACTCTACTCTATTCTGGGTCCAGAGGCCATGTGAGAACACAACTCATTCTGGTGCAGCCTGCGCAACTTCTGCACAAGAACAAGGCACGCTTTTGGGAATAGTTGTTGGGTGTTGGTGAACAGTGGCCTGTCACCCAAAACGTTGTGGTGTGTCCCCTTTGACAGGCATGTCATAGATTTGCCATCATTCTCCCAGGGTCTGAGCTCAGCTGTGTCCCTTTGAGTCCACCTCTCTTATGCTACAGCAAGAGAGATTTAGTTTCAGCAACTCTTGCCACTAATCCCCAAGGCACACACATTGCGTCTCTTGTGGAGAGGCTGCTTATGGGACTTAAGAGACCTCCTGTATTTTCTGGCCACACTGGATGACGGTGAGTGGATTTTGCAGAAGACTCAGCTTCAAGGCTTCAACCACGACTGTCCTGGTCAAGAACAACCTCAACTTTGATGGAAATCACTAAGTAGACTGCGTGCTGGAGGTAGGAAGATCAAAGGTTCATCTAAGAAAATGGGGTTTCCCTACGGAAGACCCTCTGTATGAATTTGGAGAAGAGCAATCCATCTTGCACATGCTGTGGTGCATACCATGTCCTTCAACATGTATGAAGACCTCATGCTGGTGAAAAAAAAAAACTCTTGTTAACATGGCCTGACACTGGGCGAATATAATTTTGTTTTAATCCTATTTGGTTTACTTTACATGCTTTTCCTAGGTGTGATTGTTTGATCATCTATTTTATTTGCTCAGTATTGAAGGTTATGCGTCTATCAACTGAACACGAATAAAGAAAGCTTCAAGGCATCCATGGAAGAGAGGAGGACACCTTGAAAGCCCGCAGAAAGGTTTGCCTGGGGCCTCCTAAAAGCCCAGAGTTGCCCAATCCAACACTTTGTTCCTTGAGTAATCCTCTCTTGCTGTTGGCCAGGGATCTCATTCGCTAGAGAAGAACAAGAGAGAGCTTCTGGCTTGGCTTCCAGAAACCAGCTGAGCTCTCACATAACCACCATGTACTCTCTTGCTCTTTGTCTCTTGTTCCTGCTCCTGCATCCAGGTAAGTCCTGGGGACTGATAGAGGTTTATGGGATGATTTTCGACCACGGAGGGGGCGCTCCTGGCTCTTCCAGGTGCGCTGCAGGAGTTTTGATTTCTCCTTTCCATTTCTGATTACTCCAGTTTGAGAACAAACTCTTGGAAACCTTCCTTTGAAGCTGAAGTGGCTTGATTGGCAACAATGAGCGATGTTAAAATCTTTGGCTTTGGATGCGAGTTCCCACTTCCTGCAAATTCTTCAGGCTCTCCCACCCCACTTCATGCTGAGAAACCAATCAGGCTGGCTTTGTTTGAGCAGGTGGCAATCTTAATTGAGAAAGCTTTGCCTTTCTCCCTTTCCTGGTATTTGGATGCGGGTTTACAGAAGAAGGGAATAAAGAACAGATAAGGGGGTGATTCTTCTCAATCAAGCTACGCAGAAGAGGGTTGAACCATTGTTTGCTAGCAATCTTATATGAGGATATCATAATTGTTGGGGGGGGGGAGATGCCCTCTTCTTCCTGGTCCCCTGGAGGAGGAAGAACCGGGTCTATGAAACAGATAAGCCAGATAAACCATCATGAAATTGGCACTTTCTTCCTTCGTTTTCCATTCTTCTATCCCAAGAGCTAATGGTCATCGCTAGTTGCAGGCACCAAGTAATGCAAATCTTCTTAGCTGGTGTCATAAGGATCTCAGCTGAAGCAATAGCTTTCTGTCCCAATTTGGGGAAGATTTCTTTGCTTCAAGGACTAGAGACCCATGATCTGAAAAAAAGATAAGATAAAATAACAATAAATTGTGATTATTTTACCCTGGGCACACTGGCACACATTAAAAATGAAATTTTGTTGCCTGCTCTCAAAAGAAAGCATATATCTACCCATACCTAACACACATATATACATGCAATATAGCAAAAGGAATAGCACTTATATACCACTTCACAGTGCTCTGCAGCCCTCTCTAAGTGGTTTTACAGAGTCAGCATATTGACCCCAATAATCTGGGGCTTCATTTTACCGACCTCAGAAGGATGGAAGACTGAGTCAACTGCTGGCAGTCAGCAGTCATCTCTCTCTCCCTCCCCCTCCCCCTCCCTCTCTCGATAGATGATAGATAGGTCGATAGCTATAGTCGGTAGCGCAGTGATTAGAGTGCAGTACTGCAGGCTACTTCTGCTGACTGCCGGTTGCCTTCAATTTGGCAGTTCAAATCCCACCAGGCTCAAGGTTGACTCAGCCTTCCATCCTCCCGAGGTCAGTCAAATGAGGACCCAGATTGTTGGGGGCAAGAGGCTGACTCTGTAAAACTGCTTAGAGAGGGCTGTAAAGCACTATAAAGCGGTATATAAGTGCTATTGCTATATAGAGATAGATAGATAATAAATATAGATAGATAGATAGATAGATAGATAGATAGATAGATAGATAGATAGATAGATAGAT